TATATATATATATATATAAAAGAAATAGTTTCAAAACTATTATCATATTAATGACATTAGTTGTTAATAGGCAGTTAAAATCAGCACTATAAAACAATTCAAGATAAGCCTTCAAATTATTTTATAAAGTCCACTGTAAATTCCAGTCATAACCTTAAAGTCATAATGGATATTGTCTGTGGTGATAGTTCCCAAAGGCATTGGGGATATCCCATCTATCAGACAAATCCAAATGCTGATAGAAAACTAATTAAATATTAAACTGTTGAAACTGTATGGTTTTGTGTTTATTGTCCTTCTTGCAGGCATATATAGTTATGTCCATTATATACACCTGCATCCGTGCTTAGTCAGTAAAGTTCCAGCACTGACATCTGCAATTGCCAACACAGAGACATGTCTTTGTACCATATACATTAATTTTGATTTCTAGCTTAATAAGTAAGAAAGTCCCTTTTTGTACAGCATAAATTTGGAAATCCTAGATTTAGACTAAGCACAAGACTGTGAGTGCTTAGTTGTTTTTATTTTTTCCAATATTTCTATTGAGGTAATGAGGATTACATTAAATGAGTGTAATGTTTTAAAACCACATTGTAGATTTGAGTAAGTATAACAAAAAAGATGTGGTAATTTTGAGTCACTGAAAAGTGTTATAGTGTTGGCTAGCTTATGATATAGTACGTAAGAAAGTTACAAGTGTAGTTTGAAATAAGAAATAATTTAAAAGTAACAATGCTCATTTCTTTTGACTCAATAAAAGATGGGATAATAAACTTAGAGAATGGGTTCTTTAATTGTTTCTATTAAAAGTGTGTTTAGTACCTTATAGTTTTATAGATCATTTTGTTTCATGTACATAGTATTTGTTACTTAACCCTAGAAATCGGCAAAGGAGTCCGTATGGACTCCCTTGCCTTCAGCTTTTTAAACATTATTTATTAACCACATTGCTTCTGCATCCCTAATAATACATGTGACACACACACAAAACAAAATCAACAAAAATACCATTAATATTTTAGGTTATATTTATAGAAGTATTGAATACAAGTCTTAAATAAATTATAATTGTATCGTATAGGTTACCAGTTATACCACATTTGGAATATTGTGTTTCATATTCTTGGGCTGCTTACCTTATAAAGGACATTGAACTGTTGAAAAGGGTTCAAAGATCTCTGAAAGAGTTGATGAATCAGCTTTTTTCTGTATTTAGTGGTGAAAATGGCCAGACAATGTGGAATAAATTTTGGCAGAGTAGTAGTTATTTTTAGCTAAGCCAGCTTGATTTTTCTAATAGGGTGTTTATTTTAATGAATGAAACAGCTTCAACTGATCATCAAACCCCTTGTCCTTAAATGTTTTAACTTCTGAAATCCATTTTGCATGTAATTTTACTTAACTTTTTTTTTTTTTGTCAGTCCTTTGGACAGAGTTGTAAGACGAAAACATATAAAATTACTCAATATAATATAATACTTATAGTCAATAGTATATAAAACAATAACAAAAAAAAGTCAGCAGTTTGAAGATAAAACCTTACATAAAAGGTTAAGACAAAAATATAAATTATAAAAACACAGTAACTCTTAACACAGAAAACACCTCTTTAGGAAAATCCTTATATTTACAAATGCTCTACAAATACATGAAATAATACTTTAAATTACTTCTAAACATTACAAGAATAAAATGTGATTACTTACTTACAGATTAAGCTTTATAAATTGAGGAACACCAACTAACCTGGGTTCTTTTACAGAGTTTATATTTGCTAAAAAGGCCATTGTTTGGCATTCCATTGCAGCATGAAATCACACGATCTAATATTTCCATTAAATAGTTAATAGTTTCACAGTATGGTTCACTTCCATCTACCCAAGTGACATGATCACCACGAATAGACTGTGATATCATTGGTGCTTTTGTACTAACTAACTGACCTTTTTGAAATAATCCTGTAACATACATTCCTTTTACTTCTTTTAAAATAGTATCACCTTTTTCCTTTCCAAGAAAATTATCTATAACACAGATGCCATAAACATTCAGATCATGTATGATATTTCTTGACATTTGTTCAATCCATTGTTGACTGTGACCTGCAGCTAGAGATTCTCTATGAAATCTGTTATTTGACTGTGATGATACTTGAGCTGATGAGCTGGAAGAACCCACAAGTGGCATTACTGGAACATCTGCAGGTCTGCTTTCTAACTGTTTCATTATTTCTTTATTGTAAGATTTTTCAGGATAATCAAAACCAGTTACTGCTTTAGATGTAGATGGAAAATGTGACTGTAATGGTGTGGAATATGACGAGGCCCTGATATTGCTATTATAAGACATGGGAAAGCATGAGTTTCCATTTATGAAATTTGGCGAGGTAACAGTAACAAGAGGCCTACAACCTTCATAACCCATACTAGTAGCACTTGGCAAGTTGGGCTGTACAGGTATTGTATTTTGTTTAATGCCTGTACTGTAATCATTCCGTTTATCAGTTTGAGCTGTTATATTTGGAAAATGACATGATGACAGTAGAAGATCATCTGCATGACCTCTTGACATTCCTCTTACATTAGAACTGTTTGATAAAGTCATGGGAACTAAATTAGCACTTGACTCCGACATCTTTTCACCAATTCTAGGATCAGCATGTCCAAAATGAAGCCCAAAGTCAAGATTCAAATCCAAAGGCTGTTGCTTTGGATTATTAGTTGCAGTTGATAAGATACAAGGACGTGAAAAACAATTAGCTTGAACTTGAGAATGGATAGTGGAACGCAACAAAGATGAAGTGGTACTATTAATATTATTACTAATACCAGTAATGGTATTAGGTTTATCACTATCAATTTCACACCAATTGTTAAATTGTTGTTGGTGAAGTGGCGAAATGGAATTTGAATGTAAACCTACAGTTTCTAAAAGCGACGTCAATCCAAAACTATCTGGTGAATTGATTCCTGTTCCTAGTCCAAAGTCAGTGTCTTGCGAATGAACGTAATTCGGCTCGGGTAATTGCGTATTTATGACGTTAAATACTTCGAGCTCTGACCTTGGCTGGCCACCGCAAGCACCTATTTCATCGAAACTACCTTGAGATGAGGGATCCGGTGTAATTCGACAAACAGATCTGTGTATCGACCAATGTTCTCTTTGATGATCTCTACAACAATAGTAAGCTCCGTGACATCTACCGCACCTTCGCAGGTGTTCTGTCGACCCACACCACTCGCATCGATAAACTACGCTGGTTGAGTCACGTATCAAAGACGACATAGTTTAGAACACAACGACACCTAGAGCGTTAATATATTTCAATATTCGATAAGCATCTTTAATTAATTAAAGATGTTTTAACCCATCTTTCTTTTCGATAAATACACTGCTTTATTAAAAAAGACGGTTCATTGTCAGAATTTAAAGTCTTTCAGTTATATTTCTTAACAGTATAAATATATACTATGTTGTTGTTGTTGCGCTTAGGATTCTTCTACAGTAGGTGTCTGTGACTTGTTAACGATAAAATCAATGATGAATAAACAGTACGCACTTCGCTTGTTTTCAAAATAACATATACTCAAAACAAGTTAACGTATATACAATAAATTCTTCAACACTATAGATATTATGGACATATCATAAATACTAAATTATACTATATATGTAGTTCTCTCTTTCTTGTCAAATATTCACTTAGGCATATTCAATTACTTTAGAATTTCAGTTGACAAGCCGGACTATCTTCTCTATTTCTATCGCAATAGTATTCTCTGTGATTCGCTTACAATTGTGGTGCGAGTTACCGTAATTGTTTGGTCTTCTTTCTTTTGAAGATCCTCTGTTCCTTTTGTCAAAATGAACAAAGGCTGATTCAATTACTTTAGAACCACGCTTTGACGGAATAAAATTAGTTTCTTATCATCTCTCCTACTGTTAGTTTCATTCGCATATATATTGTTCTGGAATTTCTCAATGGCAAATATAATGGCCAGACACTCTCGTTCCATAATGGAGTAGTCCTTCTCACTATTTAACAGATTTTTACTTATATATGTCACTGGAAACAGTCCATCTTGATGTTCTTGTAAGAGTACTGCCCCAATTCGAATGTCTGAAGCATCAGCCTGAACAATGAATGGTTTGTTGAAGTCTGGCATTCTAAGAATTGGTGAGCTTTCGAAAATGTTCGCCCCCCCAGTGGCACAGCGGCATGTCTGCGGACTTACAACGCTAGAAATCGGGTTTCGATACCTGTGGTGGGCAGAGCACAGATAACACATTGTGTAGCTTTGTGCTTAACTTCAAATAAACAAACATAAACAAAAACCAACGTGTTCTTTAATTTCTGGAATACCACCTGGTGTGGTTATTCTCACTTCACCTTGTTGTGCAAGCCTTTCTTGGTCAGGTCAGTCAGTAGTACAATAATTTCAGCATAATTTGGGATGAATTTACTGTAGTATCCAGGAAGGTTCTGATTTGCTGCTTCATCATTGGAGCTGGTGTATCTTGTATGCAGATTATCTTTTCCTTTTCAATGACTATTTGTTGGTCCCCTACTTTATGTCCAACAAACTCCAGCACAGAATATCCGATGTAGCACTTGGATAGTCTGATGGTGAGGCCTGCTGCCCTCACTCACTGGAACAGTTGTCTAACTCTCTTCAGATGGTCTTCCCATCTTGCAGTGTGTGTCAGAATGTCATTAACATAGTGCTCGATGTTGGTGTTGTTGTGCAGCATCCTCTTCATCATGTGGTTTAATGTTGCTGCTGAATTGGGTAACCCAAATGGCATCTGCTTAAACTGGTAACATCCATCTGGTGTCACAAATGCTGTCTTCTCTTTAGATCCAGTCTCCATAGGGATGTGCTAATAACCTTTACTGTGGTCGATCCTTGGTAGATGTCACATGACCTGCAGAATCTACTCACATCTCCAATGACTCCCGGTAAATGGAAGTTACTGGTGATTCTGTCTACCATTTTCTTTGTTCCTAGGTGTCCTCCCACTATTGGTTAATGAACCAACTTCATCACTTGAGTCCGGTATTCTGTTGGTACTATGATCTGTTTAACTTCCCCACTATAACTGCCTTGATAGATTCGGTATAGAACTCCCATTCAGTTCTCTATTCTATAAGTATTTTTCCCCTTTGATTTGAGCTCAACTTTCTTCTGGGCATTGTCCCAAAGTTTCTGCAGTGAAGGGTCTTTCTTCTGTGCTTCCTTCAGTTCCTACAAACCTAAGTTCGGGATATCACCTTTTGACACTTGCAAGGGCTTGACGTCTTGTTTGCTCTCTTTTCTTGAGCTCTGGCAGTGACTTCAGATGCTTCATCTATCTTTTTTCTGTCTAATTCCTCAAAGTTTCTACTACCTGGTATGTTTCCTATCACCAAGTCTTGTATTGATTCCTTGATGCAAATGGCATCGTGCCCAGCATGACCAAGTGGTTAGAGAGCTCGACTCGTAATCTGGGGTCGCGGGTTCGAATCCCTGTCACACCAAACATGCTCGCCTTTTCAGCCATGGGGCATTATAATGTGAGAGTCAATCCCACTATTCATTGGTAAAAGAGTAGCCCAAGAGTTGGCGGTGGGTGGTGATGACTAGCTGCATTCCCTCTAGTCTTACACTGCTAAATTAGGTATGGCTAGTGCAGATAGACCTCATGTAGCTTTGTGCAAAATTCAAAATAAACAAACACATGTCCTCAAGGTCTCCTACATAATAGTGAGTACCCACCTTTATTTTTGCTGTAAGAAATTTTCTCACTGTTCCATCAATTAGCACACACAGGTGTACCTTGCCTGTCATCTGATCATCCAAATACTAAACTGGTTCTCACTGCTGCACTACTGCACCCAGTGTCTCGTAGAACCTTCACTTTCTTGTTCCCAATATAGCCTTCACATATTGACATATTATTATTTGTTGGCTCCTATTGATATTTGTTACATGCTCCCATCACTATTGGCACTATTGATCCGTTTGCTAATTTGAGCCGACCATGCTTTATTGTATTGAATTTGAAAAGTATTCTTGATTCTCTTTTTTCTGGCAGCAGCATCCAGTCACTCTTTTCTTGTTTCTTACCAGCACTGTCTTTGTAAATGGCTCCAGCTACTTTAGGTTGAGGTTTCTGCTGTTGTTTGCTGGTAATGGACTTGCACTCTTTTGCAATGTGCCCAATTTTATAACAAATATAATATCTCTTCTCCCTTCTGTCTATTAACCTCCTTTCACCTTTGGTAAATTCCTGCTTCTGGTCAGCCATTACTGGTTTCAGATTTAACTGGACATGCTTGTACTTGCCAGTTATACTACCTCCATGGGCTTCCACATACTGTTCTGCCAGCTTGATCAGCTTGTCTACATCTTTTGGTGCTTTCTCGTTTAGGAACAGTGACATATTTGTTGAACACATGGTCATGAACTGTTTACGTACTGTTACGATATCGAGGTTACGTGACTAGTATCACGCCACGTCATTCTCGAACTTTCACGTCTTCTCCTTAAATCTCGTGATCTTTCTAGATATAGTGTAGTCTTGTATATGTAAGACCGGCCACGAAGCGACAGAGGTAATGAGTAATTGAACTGCAGTCAGAGAGAATATTGTTAAGCACGT